TATTTGCAGTAGACCTTTCTGGTTATGGAAGGAGTTGCGGGGCTTCTCTGTGCTCTGCAATGGCTGGCTGGTCACTTCTGCAGGCCTATGTCCCTTAGGAGGTCAAAGCGAAGGAACAGAAGTAGTAATTAGTTTCTTACCCAGAAGCTGGCTTTGTGAAGGTGTCACCTGGGAGAATTAGAACCTCGATGAGCAGCTCCGCTGTATCAACAAGCCATTCCCCCGTCTCAGAGAGTGACAGTGTCCCTCATTCCTGAGTCAGAGAAAGAAAGAGCCCGAGTCCTGAGGTGGCCACCTCCAGGGCAAAGAACCAAGCAGACTGACCACTACTCAAGTCCATTTCAGGGAGAAATCGTATTCCAAGCTGGACAAAATTCCAGAATTTATTAAATAATGTATTAACCATCAAGGTCAAGTGTGGTCAATAGAGAAAAGCAATTTAACAACCAACATATGCACTGTACCAGCTTGGAGATTTATTTTTATTTATTATGAAGTTGGAGAAAGCCAAAAGGTCATGAGGTCATGAGGTCATCTGATTCCATCAGCCCCTCACCTGGTCATCTCTATTGTGCCCCCTGCTCAAGCACCTGTAACAGCTCCCTGGTTGGTCAAGAACTTGTGCATTCACATTTCTCATTGTCTTCTGTTTACCACGTGGGGAAAATGTCCTCCACGGTAATGTTCTCTAAGAGTGGGGTCAGAGACCATGTCCTGTGGTTTACATTTCCCTAGAAACAACACACAGTGCAAACGTGATGGCAATGAACACCCTGATATGATGCTCTTCGCGGTTAAAGCTTATCCGCTACTGGCTTAGATATATAGTTTAGATATATTTGGCCATGGAGACTTTAAAAAATCTCCTTCAACTGGGAAAATGACTTTTTCTTTTTTTCCACATAAGCCTGTTGAGCCCACTTCTGTGGCGTGTGGAGGAAGGCTTTAGCGCCCACCCTGTCTAGAAAGCTAATTGTGAGGAAGCAAGCTTTTAGTTCAAAATGTAAGCAGTGATACAAATGGTGCTTTAAAATGTCTCCCCCTTCCTAAATGCCCCCGCTAAACCTCAAAAACTAGCACACTGAGTCTTTTAAAAAACCAATTGACAGAAGCTTAGTTGTTTATTCCAATATCCATTCTCTCTGTTCCTTTAGTAATAGAATTTCTGATTGGGCACAAGTTCCTAGAATAAAAGTCACATTTCCTGGTTTCCCTTACAGCTAGGTAAGGGCATATGACTATGTTCTGGCAAAATACATACAAGCTCAAGTATTAGGTATGATTTTTTGAGGAATCATTATAGAGAGGGGGCATGCTCTTTTTCGCTCTTTGTTTTTTCCTTTTGGCTGGGATACAGACTTGATGGCTGGAGCTTGAGCAGCCCAATTGGGTCATGAAGTGGCATGCTAAGGATGGTAGTGTAGCAAGATAAAAGGGCTCCATCTCCTTAATGATCATAAAACTATCACACCGGTTGTGGACTATGTATCTCTAGACTTCTTTTAAGCATGAGAGAGATAAAGCCAGACTTAAAACTAGCTGATACAACTACATAAAACTCCTATCTACTCTTCTGGACAAATTTTTACAGGAAATCATGGTACTATTATTCTAAGCAATAAAGAAATTATGGTTAATTTATGCGAAATTAGGACCTTAAGAATGATAAACATAGCTTCTGGGGAAAGTTGTATAACTATATATTTCAATAATATGAGAAACTCATTGCTTTTGTCTTCCTGTGTTTTCAGTGGTGTTGATGCTGCCACAGTTGTTGCCTTTTGCGTGTTTGGTGATAAGCACTTTGGTGACAGTCTTCTCAACTATGTTGACCTTCCTTTGGTTTGAGGCTAAAGTCACTCTGGCCGTGTCAGCTATCCTTTCAAAGCTTGCTCAGATCTCACCAGAATATCTGGTTGACAGTTGGGATTGGACCCCGGTTCTGTGTTTGAAGCTTACACAATGTTGGAGACTCTTAAAAATGAAAAGACTGGAGGGAGGAGAGAATCGACAGTTACTATTTAAGGAGTACAGAGTTTTTGTTTGGAAAGGTGACAAAGTCCTGGAGATGAGTGGTGGTGATGACTGTACAACAGTGTGAATGTATGTAATGCTTCTGAAATGTAAACCTAAAAATGGTTAAAATAGTTCATTTACACTATGTGTATTTTACCATAACAAAAAAAATGCTGTAACACAAAAAATAAAATTAAAAAATCTCCAAAGGATGACAGAAAATTACTAGCTGTCCTCCTAGGGCCCTCAGAAGGACCCATGTGACTAAGAGACTCTGAAATTTAAGCTTTATTATGTTCATGATAAATCTGTCCCATTTAAATATGTGTCATGATTTTTTAAAAACTTTATTACAAGCAGTACCTGTGCTTTGTAGAACACCAGAAAATATAGACAAGCTCAAAAAATTAACAGCATATTCCTACCTCCCAGAAAACATCACTGTAACAACCCAACTGTGTATGTGTACCAAAATGAGATCATACTCTAAAATTGTTTTATAGCTTTTTAATAACCTGTTTTATTTGGCCAACACTTTCTCTATCTTTGTGTTTCGGTAGAGACACATCTCATCTTATCTCATCTCATCTTATCTTATCTCATTTAATTTCTAGGCTATATGAAAATTTCTCCAATTAACTCCAATTATTCTTATAGCTTATTTATTCAAATCAGTATCCAATCCAGAATCACACATTCCCTATATTTATTTTAATCTAGTGCAGTCCTTTTTTTAGGACACTTACTAGTGGAAACAATTAAGTCAGTTGTTCTACAAAATGTCCCGACTTCTGGATTTGTCTGATTACTTCCTTGTGGTATTTAGCTTGCTTCTCTAGTAATTATATTTTCTGCGAAATAGAAGTTATATCTGAAGGGCTGATGGATTCAGATAAGCATTGTTTTTTAATTAAAACAGTTAATACTTCTTAGTATGGAGCTACCATGGGATCTATGTAAGATACTGCTCTCCTCTCCCAAAGAATGTCAGTAGGAAAATACATATAGAAAATACATATCAGAAGAAAAAGGATTCCAGGAAATAGAATAGTCTTTGAAAAGAATCTTCTCTGCACTCTCAAGGAAATTAAATATAATCTGGGACCCTATGAAACAAACAAAAAAATCTGAGATATCAAAATCAGATGAAAAGAAAACTTGAAAAGGTAAAGAAATAAACAGAAGAAACACCTATTAGATATCTAAAAGTCACATTAGAAGCCACCAGAAGTAGAGTTGACATGACAGAAAACAGTCAGTGGCATGGATAACAGGCTTGCGAATATCACAGAACCCAACGAAGAAGGGCAAATGGAAGGAAAATAATAAATACATAAGACATTTGATGCAACATATAGCTAGAGGCCCTGATGAAGAGGAAACATGTAGAATTAAAAAAGTAGTCAAAAATATAAGAGAAAAAGCCACTTCTGAACAAAAAGACTCAATTTGGCTCAAAATGAACAGGATTTACTACATTCCAGGTAAATCGAGCAAAGAAACCATTGAGACCAGAATAGGTCTTGTGAAGTTCCTAAATATTAGGGTAACCCAACTACAAACATCCAGAGAGGAAGCAGACAATCTACCAAGGGAAATAAAATGAGACTGGCCTCAGACTTCTTTTCAGCAGTTTTAGATGGCATAAGGCAATAGAACAATGTAGAAAGAATGTTGAGGAAGAAGGATATGACCCAATAATTCCATAAATGGCTAGAAATTCATTCAAGTGTGAAGGTAGCAAAAGTAATCTTAAAACTCTAAGTACACTAGGATAAATAAATCCCTAAGCTGGTTCTCTGAAAAAGAAAACTTAGACAAACCACTAACCAACAGTTTAATTTTTAAAAAGGAAGACTATAAAACATAAAATTAGAAATAAACACAAGTTTAACAAGGCAGTACAGGCTTCTGGGTTAAGGAAGTGGCACAAAGCTATATTACTTAGAGAGTAATGTAGGTAGTTAAAAGACACCAAAATATTGACTTAATATAGAAGTTTGATTCTCTCTTACATAGTAGTCCAAAGGTAAGCAGTCCAGACTGGTAGAGTGTCTGCCATTCTCAATATGCGGCTTCCATCTTTGGGTTCCAAGGTGGCTGCTCCAGTTCCTGCCATGATGTTTGCATCCTGGCCAGTGAGAAAGGGGAAAGGGAAGGAGACTGCACAGTCATTCCTTTTAAGGGCATGGCCTAGAAATGGCATAATCACTTTTGCTCACATCCCATTGGTTGGAACTCAGTCACCTGGCCACACCCAGTTACAAGGGAAGCTGGGAAATGTAGCTTTTAGCTGGGTGGCCAAGAGCCCGCCTTGCACTGAGGAATTCTATTATTTATTATTTAAGAATAAAGGATATCAGTGGATGATCAGCAGCCTCTGCAAAGAAGCCATGTCACAGGATTACTGTGTTAATATAACTGTGTATTCTCACAAATTAACACCTACCACCACCACCAAATTGAGAGGGGCAGCGTGAGGAAGTGAGTAATCAGCTCAGGGAAAACAATAGTAAGAAAAATCTTCAAGAGTAGAAGCCCCTATTTATCACATTGTCTTAGCAGAGGCAGAAAAGCCCTGCTGGGCTCACTAATTTTGAGATCTTCCGGCTGAATTGAGAAGGATTACACCATGAGAACAGGATACACCCCCAACTAGAGAAAAAGACATTTAAAAACTATCAGGAGAGACATAGCCCAGATTCTCACTGGACAGACAGTCCAGAAGAGACTGGAGTTGAGAAGTGAGTTGGAATGAGGGTGGGACAGAAAAGATGTCACAGTGGGACTGGGGAAGGCGGCAAAATGCCTGAGGAGCAGGCAATAGCACCACTGGAATTGTACTGGAGTGTAAACAATCCTGTCAGGCATTGCTTCCCTGAGCGCTAGGGAGGTGTGGGACCAGCAGACGGAGGGGGCTCCAGGAGCAGCCCCAGTGTGAGGTGGGAGTAGTAGAAAGTGGAGATAGCCAAAGAGGCTGAAAACTATCATCAGAGTCCGAAGGGCAGTATCCAGGAGGTCAATACTCCAATACAGCGGTTCTCAACCCTGTCAAACCCAAGTCCCCTTTTCATGACAAATATTTTGTAACATCCCTTTTACTATTCTGAAATAAAATTCAGTGATTATGATTCAACTATATACATTAAAAGTTGATATGCTACCCCAACTGTAATATAAAGGACTAGAACTAAAATATATATTCCAATACATGCTTGTACATGACTATAAAAAGTCAGAAAGAAATCTAATCAGAAGCTGTAACCAGAATGCAGTAGTTACAAAAAAAGCCCCGTAAAGATGTATTGAATTGGTTACTTAAAAATGGTAAAACTCTACTGTACGTTGTTAAGTGGGTCCCAAATAATCAATTGGGGTGGAGTGAAGTTATTGTGAGGTCAATTAAATCCCAAGGGTTAGCTTGCTGGGTCATGGGGCTGTGAGGTGCAGATTCAATATATTAGAGTCTCAGCTGCGGTGCAGTGCCACTTAGTGGCAGTGGCAGTTGTCTGGCATGTGAGAGAATCTGGATTTCCAAGCTGCCTGGGCCTCTTGGCTTAGCAAAGAGGCTGGGCTGAGCCTGCAACCAAAGGTCTCAGTGATGACAGCTGACAGGAATGGGCATGATGGGGACTGACGCCTGTGAGGAGAGGCCCAGAGGCCATTGCCCTACTGCACTTTGAGAATCACCAGCTGCCCAAAGCTTATGCCAGGCTGTTCTAGATTTTTCTTACCTGTGAAGTGTAGTTCATAATAACAGCTCTCTCACATAATTATGAGAATCACATTAGATTGTGGATATGAAGACGCTTTTAAAAATGCAAAGCATTTACAAATGTCATGTCCTGAGTATGTGTATGACAATCCCATAGCACTGGTTGGCATATTCTTCTTGCATCTAGATATGGCCCTTGAATGGCAGCGAGGACAGGGATTGATGTGACAGAAATTCCTTTCCTTCTTTGTGTAAGCCAGTGTGCTTAACTGAAGACTTTGAGGGGCTAAAGCCAGTTTAGAAAAAAAGAAACTATCTATGAATATTTCTTTATATGTCATGGAAATTTGATGTGTTTCCAGTTACTATGCAACTGCTAACATTCAAAAACACTCTTTTGTTTGGGGATAATTAAAAATTTTAGTAATTTTTAATTAAAAATCCATATCCCCAATAAGGAAATTGATTTATCCTAAGTTAGGCAGGAATAGGAGACAGAGGGGAACTGCCCCCTCTCAGAAAATCTCTAGATTGTTGTATGCCTGATTGTTTCAAGTTATAGCTCCTGTGAGTGGCCTTAGCCTTAATAATTCTAAATTTTTGTTTTAAATGCTCGTTTTATGAAGCTTTACCACTTTCAGTGGTTGTTTCTCTCTTTTGAAATCATAGCCTCAGATTTCTTAAGATTGACCCTTTGTGGGCTTTTTTTTTTTTTTTAAGCATGGTAAGGAAGATTTTATTGTTGCAATGGGTATAGGGACCACTGCCATGGAATCTTGCAGCAGAGGAGAGAGATTGGGCTAAACTCTGAGCGCAGGATGAGCACAGGGGAATTTGAGGAGCAGGGTGGGAGCCAGTGGGTGGAAAATATGAAGAGGAGACGTTAGGGTAAGGGGGATTCTGGCTAAACAAACTCTGTGACAGTTTCTCAAGCCTTTCCTTGTTTTGTTTTGTTTTGTTTTGTTTTCTAAATCAATGGTATGTGGTACTGAGAGATCATTAGTGAACCTCTGGGTACCCCCAGGATCCGGGTCAGGACCCTCATTGCTACGAATTCAGTGTCTCCAGGTCCTCTGCTTTCTCTACCTGCTGTCTCATCAACACCACTAAAATCTTAATTGACCAATTGTTTATTATTTTCCTCAAGACTTAGAAGGATATTCATGAAGCTTTAATCTCTTGGTATTAAACCTTGAGGACCTTTTCTCTGAACCCTATCTCTGAGCTTTTTTTTTTTTTTTTCTATTTCAGAAACTTTAAGATGCATTCCTGTTGTTTGGGGATTGCTTTGCAAATGTCATGTCCTGGTGGGCGCTAATTGACTCTTGATAACAATGTTTTGTTTCCTTTCTCTTTTAAATGGTGTATTTATTGGCCATTAAAAGGTTTACGACCCCCTCATGTGGTGTTATGTTCATCTAAGAAATAGTCTCTGGTAAATCGGTTTGAGTGATAAGACCATTCAGCAAAGGTTGTTCCTTGTTCCTGGTTTCTTCCCTTGTTGGGGGCGGGGCGCAGGGGAGCAGTGTAGGGCAGCCCGAGCTGGCTATGGCAGACATGGATTTATTCAAAAACCTTTAATTGGGTGTTTAGTAGGACCAAGCATTGGAGGGTACACAAACCAATAAAATACCCGTGGTTGCCATGTTTGCCTATGTAGCAGCATCCACTTTTCTGAGAACAGTACCACGTTAATTAGACTTCATGGTTGTAAATACAGGAAATGACAGGCCAACTTAAGCCAAAGAGAATTTATTGCAAGATTATGGGCGGGCGGGGGGCAGGGGTTGACAAGTGAAAGTTAAGGAACCAGGCTTGGGGGATAGGCAGGACCCAAAAGAGAAGCAATAAGGTGAACGGAAGTCCAGCAACGGTCACACAGCCAGAGCTCCCTGGTCAGGATGCTGCCCCACCCCCTCACCTTTGTGGGGATGAGCAACATCCTTGCTCAAGATATAAAATTCAGGAAGGAGCATCCAGTTAGCTAAGACCATACAATGGACCTAAGGGGTAAGGGGAGAGGATAGTTACTAGAACTAGGAGAGAGAGTTGACCAGAATAGGCAGCCATGAGAGGCGTAGTAAAGGGACACGGCCAGCCTTACACAACTACATAGGAGACAATAACTGTCTTGACCCCATTTTCCTCTCTCCCTCTGATTTCCTGTCTGGACATCCCACTGGCCCAACCCATTTGGAAACCATTAGTGTTTTCTAAGTTAGCTTCTAGATGTCCCTCACCAGCATCAACAATGCTCAGCTTATTTGATTGTTTCCTCCATGCCAGGAGGAAATTTGTTTTGTTTTTATTTTTATTAGAGGCAGGAAGCAACCCATGAACATTAGGCATCTTCTCAGCTCAGATGTTTTTCCTACCTTAATCTTTCCAGGATGTACTCCTCAGCCCAACTGAGGGGGCACAATGTAAGGGTGGCCCCGTTCCTTCCCCCTCCATCACTCTATTTCCTACAATGTGAACCACAGGAAAGCAGGTCTGCCAGCCTTGATTTGCAGACCAGGCGGCTCAAACATCATGTCAACCTTAATGGTCTTCCTGTATCTCCAAAACGGGGCTCAATATCTTTCCCATACCCTCTCTAAAGGCAGGTAATTTGTCCATGTCTTGTTCTCTCTAACATTCCCAGCATCGAGCTCAGTGTCTGGCACCTATTAGGAGCTTGATAAATGCTTAATGAACGTTGTCGTAGTATTTTCCAGGTAAATAGTCCCCACTTGTCCAGAGGTTGGCCAAAGTCCCTATCCTGTCTCTCATATACACAGACATTGTGTCTTCCAGTTTGCTTTAATTAGGTCCTGGGTAGGAAGAGTCAAATCAGTTCGGACTTCCTGTGATAGGTGGTCACCACCTTCTTTGCCAGAAGCCATGTCTTCATTAGCAACCAGTTTGCATGGCCCAGGGTGAGCCTTCATAGCTTTATGCTAACACAGAGTTGGGCAGTAAAGACTCAATTTCCTGCTTGAGGTAGGTGGGGCAACACAAAGGTATCTCCCAGTTGGTCACCATCATTCTCAGGATTTTTTTTTTTTAACTTTGGGCTTGGAGCAGCCCTGCCTCTGATTTCCCCTCTCTCTTTGAAAGAAAAAGTTGGATTTCTCCCCAGGCCCTTTCCTCTGGATTGCCTTTCTTGGCTCTGCTTGGCTGCTTTGGGATTTTAACTGAGCAGACGGAAAGTTTTTCCCACTTATTTTCCCAAGAAATGAGCTCCTGCTCCTAATTAGCCCTCCCCCGACCTGGAGCCCCCCACAGCACAACCTACAACAATTAGGAACTCACTTGGAGGTTTATTGGTGGTAGTAGGAAAGCACCGTTTATAAACATCTTATTCCTCCCGTGATCACTTGGCCCACAGTGGGGAAACAGCATTACTGGAGGTTGTAGCCACAGTGGGGAAACAGCATTACTGGAGGTTCACTCCAGTATACCGAGTGAAGCCAGGGAAGATCGTCCTGTTGGCTAGGTGTCAGGGACCCAACAAGTTCTCTCCCAGGGAACTGGCTACAGGAACGTGCAGGAAGTACTCATCTGGATCTTCTTGTTCCCAGAGGCTGTGGCTCAAGGCGGCTCTCATGGGTATATTCAAATTGACTGGCGATGCCACTGGAGAGGGCGTCTTGTTGTAGCTGCTGGAATCGTTGAGTTCAATGGCAGCGTCAGTGTTTCTGTTGGAACCCAGGAGTTTCAAGGTCATCGAAAGCAGTAAAAGAAAAAGAAAGCATTGTTAAAAATCTAATTTAAAAACGGCTTTTTAATGATGTCTTTTCTAGCATGAGTGCCTTGAACACGGATGTGAATATGGAAATGACCATCAGTGATGATACATATATATGGTATTAAGACAGCATAGGGACTGGAGCCAAGGACGAAGGAATGCCACCATCCCCCCATCATTCTCTACATCATGCAGAAGTAGCTGATTTTATCTCCCTTCTAAACGTTTACTTCAATACAGATGTCCATACAGATGTGGAAATGACTGCTTCGTATGTGCAATTGGCCAAAATTTATCCGCTATACCAGGGGTTCCCCCACTCTGGGGCTGCCGACCAGTACTGGTCCACGGCCTGTTAGGAACCAGGTGGCACAGCAGGAGGTGAGCGGCGGGCCAGCCAGAGAAGCTTCATCTGTATTTGCAGCTGCTCCCCAGCACTAGCATCACTGCCTCAGCTCCACTGCAGATCATCAGGCATTAGATTCTCATAGGAGCACTGGTCCCTGGTGCCAAAAAGGTTAGGGACCGCTGCATACGACCTTCTTGGGGTGGCGATAATGAGCAATCCACCATCCCACCCCACAGCTCAGGCATGAACACGGTTACCAGGCAAGTAACGGGTAAAGAAAGCCCGCCACTTTCAAAAAGCCTGCCCTTCCCGCAACCTGCTCTATCCCCAGGTTGTCATAGCAGCCAAGCAGAGCCAACCCACGAGCCAGTTCAGAGGACCGTCCTTTCCTCTATGCTCTCTCTCTTGTGGTCGGGCATAAGCTTCATAAAATCTGTCTGGAAATTTTTCTGGGGTTTCTTCTCGCTTTCTATCTAGGGGAACTCAAGAACCCCAATGCTGGTAACAGTATGACGTATCTAAGAATGACTTAAGTGGAGAAAGCCAAGCAGGAGAGAAGCTGGAGCTAAGGCTTGCCCTGCTGAAGTGGACCAGACATCCCGCCAAACCCTAAGCACTGCTTTCATATGTTGAGAACCTAACGTGTTAGGACTCAAAGGCAAAACCTGAACCCACTGGGGTCTGCTTGATGCCCATCACCACCTTCCTGGAGCCAGCATTATTGCAAAGAAAATCTTAAGACAGTTCTCCAAAACAATAACAACTCTTTAAAAATCACAACTACTTAGTGTGTCTAGAAAAACATACAGTGTGACTAAAATTTTTTAAAATCTTGATTCCAAGTGAAATACATACATATTTTAAATGAAAAAATATAGAAAGTATAAAAAAGCATCAAAAAGAGAATAAAAATTGCATCATAGCTATTCAAAGATAAATGCAGTGAGTTTTTTAAGTGAAAATAATTTTAGAGTTATTTAGCTAGAGACTAGCAATGTGGGCGAATAATCTAAAAATTTCTTTGCTATAAAACACCTAGAAATGCTGGAAAAAAATATAATCAACAAAATTTTAAATGCATCGTTGATCTCACAAACATAAAGAAAAATCTCAGGGGCCAAAAATTAAAGACCAGCAAAGTGTGAGCTGAAGCTGGGGCTGCCCGAGGCACTTGCCAGGCTCAGTAACCCAGAGCTTGGGTTTCATGGCCACGTGACACAGGAGTTGAAGTCTTGGCCCTGAGCTAGGTGAAATATTTGCATAAATCCAAAAATTTGAGAGCTATCTTCTTGGTAAAAAGGTACACCAGAAAGAAATCCACCAGCGCCACCAGCTCATCTGTATTAACCCGGATTCTGGGTCAAAAAGAAAGTCTCTTCTGAAAATTATTATCTTTGGGCCTGTCTGCATTCTGGTTTGAGGTCTGATACATGGTTCAAGAACTCCCAAGCTGAGAAACCAATATAAAAAATTTCTCCAGAGCCAATAATATCTCTGAGGCACCTGACAAAAGCAAACTTACCATGGTTCTTTGGTAAGTTTGCTTTTGTCAGGTGCCTCAGAGATATTATTGGCTCTGGAGACCTCTCCTCCAATTTAGGTCAACATGAGTCCCACAGATAAAAGCCTGTTAGAGATAAGCTCATGATAAAAAGGGTAGCGGCAGACAGCTCCAAGACCTTCTTGGAATCAGTATCTGTGTGAGAGGAAGCAGAGAGGCAATGGGGCATCTGATGTACCTGAAAGTAGGAACGCTCCTAAATCTCCCACAGGTTCTCAGTAGAAACAATTAGAACACTCTTCCTTACAGGACACAGTCTCACCCTAGGCGAAAACCACTGGAAATGGAATCCAAATTGAGTAGGATAGGAACAGAAGCAAAGGAAAGAGAAAAGTCAGCTAAAGATAGGAGAGAGGAACATTGCCCTGGAATCTTAAAAAGTCGAGGTCATGAACTTCACAAAAATGACACAAGAGAGAGCTGTAGAGCCAAAACCGGAAAGCTACTGGGATCCATCTCTTTGACCCAAAGTCTCAGAAAAACGATTTCACATTAAAAAAAAAAAAAAAAACACCAAAAAACAAAAAAAGCACCAGAAAAGGATCATAATCAAACCCCATGGCAAAGTTACATAAGAAAAAAGAGGACATGAAACATAATAAATTCTTATGATGAAAGCACACTAAAAAGATGTGCTTATAGTAAAACAAATGAAAATTGCAACCTAGCATTTCAAAATGAGCTAAAAGAAATTAAGAAGATAGAAATCATGAAAGAACAACATGTCAGAATTTTTAAAATTTGTAAATGTGATAATAAAACTGAAAAAAAGAATTAGACATTTAAATTTTTTTTAAGAATTAGACATTTTTAAAGAAACAATTATTTCTAAAACGAAGCCTCATCCAGAAAGAACAAGAGCAAACAAACAAAGCAGATAATTCCTAAAGAGAAATAGAAGGATATAAGAGGAAATTTATTAGAAAGGCAAAGCTGATCAATATACAAATAATAAGAGTACTCAAAGAAGAAAATTTTATATTACAATTCAAGAAAACTCTCTTGAAATTAGGAAGGAAGGAAGGAAGGAAGGAAGGAAG